TGAAAGCTCAAGCTAATTTTGTTGAGGTACACAGCTCAAGCTAATTTTGTTGGTCCCTGCTTGGACACCATTGTGTCACCACACTGCCTGTATGTAGTCTGAGCACGCACACACACATATGTATATGCATATGCACAGATATACATATACTTACATACATATTTGTGTATATGTGTGTGTCTATACATATATAAAGCTAGATTGATGTCTTGACTTGTACTTTATAAATGTCAGCATCAAGGATGCTTGTATTAAGGAAATCAGATACCTATACTTGCAAGGAACAATAAATTCTTAAATACACTGGAATGACCTCCCTGCTGAGCTGATTTCTTCCCATGTCCCATTCCACGTAGTGGAATGAGTCCTATTTCTGACTCCAAAGGCCTCTTCCTGAAGACTCAGAAAAAAAATTGGCAATGTTTTCTGCTGCTTCATTTGTTATTTTACATGACTTACAGAGGGCCTATATCTACAATAACACGCTGGTCGATATGTCCAGGTCTCTTGTGTGGCCAGGAAATGCAATTTATGCTGTCTCACCACTGGGTTTGATGTACATCCCAAAGCCTATTGCTGTTTTATCAGCTGGGTGCTGGTTATCAGCTGATTTGCATACTTTCAAGTAGGTCACCTAATTTAAGTGGGAAGGGGAGAGCTCTCACCTCAGATGAACAGCACCTGCCATATTTTAAAAGGTTTTCTATTCACTTGGGAAAGGATTAAATAAGATACAGGAGGGCACGTATGTGCGTGTGCATGCCAGCAGCAGGGAGGATATGGGGCATTCCCAACACCAGCACAGGCTCATCACAAGACATGAAAGCAAGGACACTGCTAGCCAGATTTCCCAACATGAGGAGCCTGTCAAAGCTACTTATTTTCCAGCCTCAGAACTCCACTTGTGAAAATTGTTTATTTTGTAAGCACTCAGGGAACATGAAGCAGCACAGTCCTAAGGCAGAAATAATCCTGTGCTGGCTCCTCACAATACATGTTACCATGTTAATACACAACCAGGCAGCAGGGCAGGAAAACGTCGAGGTCTCATCTGCATAAGGAAGTGCTGCGGTTTATTATGTAGTAGCATAATAAACATCTTGTGTAAGGAAGTTAAAGTTATTTATCTTCTCCAAAAACCAGGTTAAAAGGTAACTTCATCTGCCTGGAAGCACTTGCTTGTAAGAAAATCAGCAAAGTTGTAATAAGACCCAGAAGTTGAAAATTTGAACCAGGCAATGCCAAGTATGAAAACGAGTGTGCATTATTTAGTGGGAAAGAACTGCCACCAGAATAACATTATAGTGCCCTATGGAGTTCAGTCTCCCTGGAAGTATTTTTAATCAAAATTAATTTTTTTTCATAAAAGATCAACTTTAGTTCAAGCAGGAGTTAATTCAGGGAAGCCTAAGGCTGGTGCTGTGCAGTAGGCCAGGCTACATTGTCTCAACAGCTTCAAATAGCATTATAACCTGTTCATTACCACCTTTACTCTGAAATTTCTAAATCACCTACAACTTTAAAACATCTTCCCCCCAAAGCAAAGATCCTTGTGAGGCAGGTAGGCAGACACAGCTATGCAGAGTAACTCTGCCAGTCAGTTTTTGTACCTTGGAAAGGCTTTATTCAAAGCACTTGTGACAACCATGCTGTAGACAAGCTCTGCCTAGAGAGACTGACCAGCACAACTATCACAGAACTACTTGATTATTCAAGAATAATTTTATTTTGGAATACACTGTCAGCACCAGGGAGTTATATTGGCAGAGCTGAGAGAGCTATTCTGGTCAATTCTCCCACGTAGACGTGCCATACATGTGTGATAAGGCTGTAGAACAATCCCCTAGGAGAAGCAATGAACATTTTATTGATTTGGATATTTCAAACTTCTGCAAGACAAAGCAATCTTCTGAGCACTGAATGAGCAGACAAGATGGAATTGAGGACTGGGTTTGAGGACTGCTCCAAATTCTGTGTTTAGTTTAGAGAAGGTACTCTGAACAACACTAGCAAGCGGCAGAGAGGGGAAAAAACTATCTATATCTGGCTCTGATTCTGCCAGAGGCACTGTCATTCTTGCAATGTTAGTGGCAAGAGAGGTCATTTCCTTGAAATTCAAGACAAATGTGTGATGCTGAAGCCACAGATATGTGTAACAGGCCATGAGGACCTGTAGAACCAACCCAGTGCCCCACACCTAGCCTATTTGCTTTCTTTTCTTCCCTGACCAGTGCCATTTATGGGAGGAGTGCTGGGCCAGGCACTGGAAGAAGGCAGATGGGAAGGGACAGAGGATAGGAAGCTTGCAATGAGTAAGTGCTAGCTGCACTTCTCTCAGTGGAATCAAAGCACAGCTGAGCTAGAGGGGACAGTAACTGGTTATTTCGATAGCAGCTTTCCATGCCTGAATGCCAGCTCCTCTGCAGAGTGATGATCTCTTCTGTTTCCATAGCAGGATCTGCAGGTCTGCATCTGCGGGATTTCATGCCCCACGTGAGCTCAGGCAAGCACCATGCACGCCAGCACTCCTGGCTGTGCAGGCAGGCAGAGAGGGGAGGTTGGTGAGGTGAGCAGGCAAAACTCACTTGGGGTTGCAAGGGCTCTACCACGTACCCATCTCAAAGTGTAAGGGTGAGAGAAGGTGCTCAGCATGTACACAGAAGTCTCCATCACCCTGTGTAGCATTTGGGCAATCCAAAGCAAGCACACAGGCACTAACTTTCTCTGTCCAGAGGAAATGTGATTCTTATCAGCATGCAGATGCTGTTTAAAGGGGAAGGGCTGTGAGGAAAGGCAACATCTTTTACTAAACCAACTGATGAAGCTGGGAGAAAAAAAATCAACTGTGACTTCAGAGATTTGAGAAAAGCATGTTATGCCTGAAACATTTTCCAGCCAGATCAATTGGTCTAATTAAATGCATCATTTTTGTCCCCATATTTTTCTGTCCTTCACAACTGTAAGAGCACAGACTGCTATGGGGGCCATTAAAGCTTCTGGCCTTGCCTCCAAAATCCTCTTAATTATGTCCCCTGCAAATTGCTGGGCCCCAGGACACTGCAGACCAGACACTTTGCAGCAGTCTCAGCTGAAATAAGGAGTGGGGGATCATACTGACCAATGTTCGACACAGAGCTCACTGCTGCCTCCCCCACCACATGGAATCTGGCATTAATTTTAATTTATTTCATCCTGTCCAGCAGTTTGAATTCACAACATGCTAGAGTTTGGTACTGAAAAGGCTCCTTTGTTATAAAGCACCATTAAGAGAAGGTGGGACATTTTGACATGTGAATATGGGCAGATGAGTCTTTTATACCTGGAATGATGATGTGGGACTGTGGGGTAATTGCTTTAGGATGAGAATGTGTGCAGCTTACCCGAATACTCAGGCTACCTGGAAAGTATTTAGCACCTGTATAGCTTACAATGTAGCCACGTAATGCAGAGTTCAGCACAGGCTGCACCGGAGAGGTTAGTGGCATTGGCAGAGACATTCTCCTGGTTAGATTTCAAAGTTGTCACAGCAGCAAGGGGAACTAGGCAGCCAACTTCCCTGTGCTGACCTCATGAGCTGTTTGCACTATGTTATCATGCCTACTTCATTTAGGTCGTATCGGGAAGGTTTTATTTACCTTAAAAATGCAAACCTTATTTCTGTACAGAGGGCTTAAGCAGCAGAGCATAGACTTGTGCTTTTTGTGGGCTGTAGACAAAACCTGTGTTAGCAAATCAGTGCATGTCCAACATCCAGATCCCACTTGCTCCAACCAGCATACAAAGGATGCTGACAAAAGCCAGCAGAGCAGTGTTGTTCCCAACACTGGGACCACTACCAGTCCCCACCTGCTGCCCACTGCCCAGCGTGGATGGAGTGCTGGTCACCATTAAGGACCATGAGAGCAGCAGCCCTTCCCCAGTGGCCCCGCAGGGAGTGTCTCACTCCTGGCTGAGTGGGGTGACTGAGGACTGCGCTCAGGGGACTGCTCCTCGCTAAACTGCCCTACTTGTTGGCTGCCCCTGTTGTCCCAAAGCAGATTCTTTCACCCAGTGTGCAAGAGGCCAGTTCTCACACAGAGTCGAGGTATTTGATTGATTTCCAGTTCTGCGCAAAAAGGGGTACTTGGGTGGCAAATCCACAAAGCCAGCACCATCTCTACGAAAACTGTACACTATTTATACATTTTAGCAAACAAAGGCATTGTTTGCTATGGAACAAAGGTAGTTCATTGGCTACAAGGGTTACCAAGTTTTTATTAATTAGCATTCTATCCCCCGTTAGTTAATGCTAATTAGTCTGCATGCTCAGTCTTTCTTTTCATTTGGGTCGGTGAGTCGGTGGTTGCGATCTCCCCCTGCCGGAATTACCTTTTACCCAGTCGGAGCTGATTCAACACAATCTCTGGGCTTTGTTAATTTCTTCCTTATCTTGGGGGTTCTGACAAATGTCCTTGTGGCCCGTAAATTCTTCATTCTTTGTGTCCACTATCAGTGGTACATCCTTCTTCCCAAGCTTTCTTAACCTGCCCCTAGGTCTGATATCACTGAAATACGTCGAGCCCTAAGCCTTAACAGGGCAATTCTACCGACAAGCAATTTGTCTTTCTAACACATGTACATCATTTGTTCGCTGCTATCTGTTTCACGGTAAATCACCTTTCTTGTCGATTAGGCTTGGAAGTATACAAACAGCAAACATGAAAGAGCATCCTTTCTGAAGAACATTTTTACATACCCCACGTTTCCCAACATCCCCGCTGGCCCGACCGCGCTGCCCGGGGCGGAGCGGGGCGGCGGGGGCCGGGCCGGGCCCTCCCCCGAAATGGCGCCGCGGCCGGGGAGGCGCCGAGCGGCGCCCGCGGGGCGTGAATAAAGGGCGGCGGGCGGGGCGGTGGCGCTCCTGGAGGCGCGGGGCCGGCAGCGGAGCCGGGTGAGCGGGGCCGGGGCCGGCGGCGGCGGGAAGAGGAAGGCCGGGCCGTGGCCGGGCGGCTCGGCCCGCCATGAGCAAGGCGCAGCTGACGCGGACGGGGATCCTGCGGATGGCGCTGGGCGGTGGCGCCGCTGACCCGCTGCTGCCGGCGGAGGGCGGCGGGGGCCGACGGGCGCCCTTCCTGCTGCGGGCGCTGCGCATCGCCGTGGTGGTCTGCCTCTACTGGTTCACCTCCATCGCCATGGTCTTCCTCAACAAGTACCTGCTGGACAGCCCCTCGCTGCGCCTCGACGCCCCCCTCTTCGTCACCTTCTTCCAGTGCGCCCTGACGGCCGCCCTCTGTCTCGGCCTCAGCTTGGGGGCGGCCTGCGGGCCCCCCTGCTCCGGCCTGCCCACTCTCCGCCTCGACCCTAAGGTGTCCCGCAGCGTCCTGCCCCTCTCCGCCGTCTTCATCGGCATGGTCACCTCCAACAACCTCTGCCTCAAGCACGTCGGCGTGGCCTTCTATAACGTGGGGCGCTCCCTCACCACCGTCTTCAACGTGCTGCTCTCCTACCTGCTCCTCAAGCAGACCACCTCCCTCTACGCCCTCCTGGCCTGCGGAGTCATCATAGGTGAGGGGGAGCAGAAGGGGCTGCACCGATCCCGCAGCCAGCCACAGAGAGACAGAGGTGGAATGTCTTTCCCTTGGAAGTCATCCCCATATGTGTGGCAGCTCCCTGGTGAGGTGGGGTAGCTCAGGGCTCATGCCTTGCTCTGCCTCCGGCAACTTGCTTTGTATGTCTGGAGGATGTGGATAACTCATTAAGAGAGGAAATTACCCTTGACCATGGCTCCCTTTTTCTTTTGAGCAGTAAAACCTCTCTGGCCCCTAATGATGCTTAACTTGCCTTACCTTTTTTCTTTTTCCCCTGTACAGGCCATAAAACAGCAGGTGGCTTTCTCCCCTTTCCCAAGTGCTTGTTCATTATTAACTGTGGTAACAATAACATTTATGTCAGCACCACTGGGCCCATGCAATGGAGCCAGCCAGTTAAGACAGGCTGAATGCATGTGATGAATGGTTAGTTGATCAAGCCAAATGTAAAACACCACTAGAAGATCTGATTGTGTGGTTAGGATGTAGGGCTGGGCATTGACTGGCTTAACCGGGATGCTTGCAAGTCTTTAATTCCAAAGGGACTGGGAATGCCAAAAGCTACCTTCCACTGGAGGGTCACTTAGATGCCAAGAATGGTGGAATGTTTATTTCAGTCTGGTTCCAGGTGAACCTGTGTTCACTTTGGTGCTTAGACAAGTAGATGGATTCAGGTGAAAATGAGAGAAATCTCATCTCCATAGAATAGGTGAACAGGAACAGAACTACTCTTTTTTTTCCACCCAAGTGATGCAAGCAATTGCTTTAGCTAATCTTTCGTTTGGATACTGCCCAGGAGTATGGTGTCTGCCAGCCTTACAGAGTTTCTCCAAGGCTCCGTCCCCCTGGCTCTGTCTCCTTTTGCTGTGAGAGCATTGACAGTATGCCTGGAGTAGCACAGCTGAGCATCCTCTGTGGTCTGACGCAAAGCCCTTTCTGTCAGTGCATTGAACCCTTTTGTATTTGGGCCTAGATTAAAGCATGTTGGCTGCTTTCCAGGTAACTTGCCAGACCAACTCCAACGTGAAGCAGCTTATGAAAACATGGTGCAGTTCTCCTTCAGTAGCTCATCTCCCCTTTTATGTTTTGCTTATGAGCTGCATAAGGAGACACAAAGCCTGTAGCTCCTGTTTTGGAGGTGGTTGAAGAGTTCATTACCCATCAAAGTTTAATATGTTGAAGATACTGCACACAGTTTCTGCCTTGTGATCTTTTCTCAACTGTGGTTCTTAATATTACATCCATGTATTTACTGTCTTTCCCTCTTTTCTGACCTTTTCCTTCCTGTTAACAGGAAAGCCTGTGAGGCTTTTTTTTCCCCAAACCTTTCTACCCATGTAGATTTGTGTATTTTTCTACCCATGTATGAGTTTGCTGTCTTTTCAATTAAAAAATAGTCATACAGTCTCCTGAAAATTACCTATATGCAAAGACTAGCTGGAATAATAGTTTCTGAACTAGTGCTGCCTGCTCAGTGTGGGAATTAGTCCTCTGAGATTGAATTAACCGCACAGTAAATTACTTGCCCTCCTAAAATAAATTTTCCCGGGACACTAGTAGTGAACATTTTTGTGTTCACTTAATAGAAAGGGAAAATCCTTAAGCCTGTCTGTTTGTGATTGTGGTTGTTCAGTATAAAGTAGATGATGAATTTCTATGTTTTGAGCCTTTCAGCAGTTTTTCAGGTGATGCCTGATTTGTTTGGTTGCAGGTGGCTTCTGGCTGGGTGTTGACCAGGAAGGAGCAGAGGGCACACTATCATGGACAGGTATATTCTTTGGGATCCTAGCAAGCCTGTGTGTCTCTCTCAATGCCATCTACACCAAGAAGGTGCTGCCTGTGGTGGATGGTAGCATCTGGCGCCTGACCTTCTACAACAATGTCAATGCCTGCGTCCTGTTCTTCCCTCTCATGATGCTGCTGGGCGAGTTCCGCACGCTCTACCACTTTGACAAACTGGGGAGCCCCAGTTTTTGGGGTGTGATGACCCTGGGGGGAGTGTTTGGCTTTGCCATTGGGTATGTGACTGGACTTCAGATTAAGTTCACTAGCCCACTCACCCACAATGTGTCTGGGACAGCCAAGGCCTGTGCCCAAACAGTGCTGGCTGTTATCTACTTTGAGGAAACAAAGAGCTTCCTGTGGTGGACAAGTAACTTGATGGTTTTGGGGGGTTCCTTTGCCTACACATGGGTGAAAGGACTGGAGATGAGAAAGGCGCAAGAGGATCCTAATGTCAAAAGCGGAGAAAGAAATGAGACTGGTGTGTAGGCAGCTTCTGCACTTCCATTTCTGTGCCTAGGGGGATAACCTTTGGTGCTCATTGCCTCCTGGGGAGAAGAAGAGCGGGGATCAGGAAAAAATTCACCTGCAAAGTGTATGGGGAACTGTGTCAGGAACCGGAGCCAAAGACCTGACTGGATCATGTTTTATCCATGGGATCTCACCCCTATCAGAGTTGTGGAGAGCATGCGTTATAGAGATCAATTGGGGTTTTTTGTGATTGTTTTTTAAAATGGATGTTGCTATTGACCTAATTGGGGAAATTTGCATCTGTGTGTGGGGGGTGGGTTCCTAGCAGACAAAGACTGAGGTAGGAGCTTTCTGTAGTTAGGGATCTAGAGTTACCTGAATGAATGCAGACTGAAGTTATAAAATCCTGAACCTTGAGGTAAGGAAGAGGCAAGTAGCCAGACTGTTTGGATTTGACTCCAGTAAACTTCTGCTGTAAAAGGTTTTTGCAACAGCCGTTCTTCCTGTTGCCCCATTCAGTGCAGAGGATAGAAATTCCTTCCCTTCTGGCTATGTACAAGTCTAAGCAACAGCAGTGCCTCCAAGTCTTCTTTCCAGCGAGTCAGTATCACATCCTTCTGAGTTTTTTTTCTGTGTTGCCCTACATCTGATATCTCAGTTTGGGGAAGCATACTAAGACTCCGGCATTAAACTTCTTATTACCTCTCCACTGTGTCCCATGAGGAAGAGCAGGCTCCATCCAGTGGACTTTCTCATGGAGGAATGAGCTTGGCCTCTGTGTCTCTCCATGACAGGCAGAAGGGGAAAAGTTACTATGAAGTACTTGCTGCTGTAGGGTGGGGATCCCACTTCACGGAGTTCACAACACTTCTCCTCTTTACCCTCTGTGTAGGGGGTAGGTTTGTGTTTGAAAATGGGGTTGTTACTAATTAGGCTTATTTCAGGAGACTTGTTTCATACATAGTTTGCATTTCCTCTGGTGTTTGCAGTTTGTCTTTTGGCTTGTTCCTTTTAAACATCCCCATGGCCAGCTCAGTGAATCTTCAACTCAGAAAAAAATCCTAGGTTTGCTCAATTGCAAACCTTTGCCTGCAACTTGCTGCTGAACAGTTAGTTCTGCGGAAATCTCTGCCCCTGACATCTGGTCCTGTGCAATACTCTGCTGCGATTTCCGATCCCAGGGGTCAACAGCAACACCCTGTTGTGAGCTGTGATGTTGCACCAGCTTTCTAAATCCCTGGCCGCTTTAAACATAAGGAGTTATTTGGATAGTGATCCTGGGCAATCCATGCCATTGCTTCATACCCTGCCCCATGGACACTACACGATGTACTGTGCCCCGTGAGTGATGTCTAGCCTCGCCTACAGAAAAACACTCCATTTCTACCCGGAATATGTTCCTGTTTAATTTGGGAGTGTGCCAGGTTTCATGACCACAGGTACCTTTTTGTGTAGGCAGCCATTGAGGGTCCTCGAAATATTTTTATTTTATTTTTAATGTTGCTCGTACTGCACGGCGGCCGATCCTGCTGAAGGAAGTCGGGGGCGGCTCTCGGGCTCCGCTGCGGGTGGGATCTCCCTTGCGGGGGTTTCGCGGCCGCTGGGGGGCAGCAGAGCGCCCCGGGTCCCCGCGCGCTCCGCCCAGCGCGCTGATTGGCTACCGTGGCGCGCGCCAATCACGCGGCGGGGCGGGGCGGGGGCGGGCGGCGCGCGGTGGCCGCGGCGGCGGGAGTAGGCGGCGGCGATGGCGGCGGCCGCGCTGGGCCCCGCGCCGGCCCTGTGCCGCTCCGTGCACTGGTTCCGCCGCGGGCTGCGGCTTCACGACAACCCGGCGCTGCAGGAAGCGCTGCGGGACGCCACGTCTCTCCGCTGCATCTATATCCTGGACCCCTGGTTCGCCGCCTCCTCCGCCGTGGGCATCAACCGCTGGCGGTGAGTGGCGCCGGGCCTGCGGGCGGGACCGAGCGGGGCGGGAGCGGCGGGACCCGCGGCGGGGAGGGTCCCGCGGCACCGGGGCGTTCTGGGCGCGGCGTGGGCCGTGTCGGTCAGGCCGCATCAGCGGCGGGAGCAGCACCCGCTGCCCTGCCTGGCCCGGCCCACGCACCGCTCCGCCGCCCTCTCTGCAGGAGAGCGGCTGTGCCATGCCCGCTTGGCCTCGCCGCGATGTTCTCAGCGGTGCTGCCTGACTCTGTAGGAGGATGCCTTCAACTTTACGTAATGTCATTAGACCTTCTCCTTACCAGCTGGGCGAATGTATGAGAGCAGCGACCCATGGGCATTTAGCTTTGGGGGACGCTGTTCCCTGGATTTAGAAACAAGCGCAAAGAATCCTTAGCGCTGCGTGGCCTCTCCAGGCCTTCCCTCTGCCCTATGGCTGCTGGGCACGCGTAGGCATGTGCGCACGCAGCTGCGTTCCTTCCACCCCACAAATTTCTATGGAAATACACGTCGGCTGCTGCTAAAAAGGTAGAGAGGAAGATATGTGTGGGCTTTTTCCCACTGTCTGCAAATGGAAAAATGTACAGCATGAGTCGCGTGTGCAGAGAACAAGACCTCATGTACCTGTAGCCAGTAACATTACATAACGCTATTGTCTCAGGTCTCAGCTGCCTAAACATTTGGAAACCCAATCCAGGTAGAGATTCTCCTCGGCAAGACTCCCCTGAATACAAATGAGGCAGATCTCCCCTCACACTACCCCGGGACAACCACCTGGCTAAAGATCCCTTGAGAGCCCTTTGAAATGTTATGTGGCTGTGCACTATGAAAACTGTAGTAACTGATTGACTCTGCTGTGCACCTTAGCTTCATCTCAAGGAATGGGATTATATGAGTGATACCTGTGCGTTTCTAAAACCCCACATGAGAGGATGGCTTAAAATTCTAAATGTGCGTACATTACCTCAATGTACACATTCAAATTACAGAAAATTGTGGATTCTGTTACAGATAAGTGTTGTAGGAGCCTGAAGTGGTCTTTCAGTAGACCAGACATTCTGCGGGCAGCAGAAATGCCTTTCACGTGCTGCTGTTGTTGCTGACTGTCCCCATTTGGAAGAACCAAAGCACTGCCACAACAGATTAGTTCCTGATCTGTTTAATCCTTGTTTGTTTCTACCAGCATTGCGGAGGAAGGGAAGCAGTTAGTGATCTTCTTTATGTTGTAGTCGTGGAATATATGAGCAAGTGAAATTTTTAGAATAATGTTTTCTTGGAGGTGTGTGCCTACTGCAGATGTCAGAAACTAGCACCTCTGGCTGTTGGGGAAAAATGTATTAGCAAGTTACTTATGTTGAATGAAGTTCAAAAAAGATGGCATGTGAAAGGTGGAGAAAAGTGTGGACAGGTGTCAGTAAACACCCAAGGGTACTATGCTAACTAATTAGAGAACAAGAGTTTATAACCAGAGGTTGAAATGAAAGTTTGGTTGGTTCCCATTGGGAGACTTGGCTTTGTTTTGCTAATTTTTTTTTTAATGCAAATACTTGTATTCAGAGTTCTGTTCTCCAAAGGCAAAGGTTTGTGTTCTACCTAGTTCTCACAAATTTATCATCTTGAAAATTACTTGTTAACTGCACAGCATGTGTGAGCCATATAGGAATAATGCTTGATAAATTTTTAGAACACCTGGGAAAGTTGATGTTCCTATTTAATAGATGGAAGGTGGGCCAGGGGAGTGGTTTGTTTACCTGGACCTGGTTCTAGATGTTCTGCTTTTTGATAGAGGGCCCCTCTTTCCATGAACTCCACATCTTTTTCTCCCTTGGGATGTGCAGAGGGAGCTTGTTCTATGTGGTAAGCTCAGTTCACACTATGGGCAATGCAGCTGAGGAGAGAGGAAACCCCCACTTAATTGTAGCTTAGCTTTCTTAGCTGTGTGTGGTCTTAAGGGAGCTGCTGCTGATACTCCTGTCTCACAGATCATGCTGCAGAGTGATTGTGTAGGTGGGGAGGACCTGTGTGACTGGGAAAGCAAAGATGATAACCTTTAATATTTTATAGTTTAGTGGGGGATCAGTCAGACACACCGTTACCTGCAGAAAGCACTTACATGGGTCTTTAGATTTTTGGGGTGAGAGGGAATAGATGAATGCCTTGGTATGCTCTCATCTATGTGTCTTCATGGTGGAAGATGAATTGCAGTTCTCTTTGCAACTATTTTAAATACAGATAATTCTTGCCTCAGGAGATCCTGGTGCTCAGTCTTGTGCTACTGATGAGCTAGGAGAGTACATTTCTCTGCTGTGACATGGCGTATTTGTAGCCAGAACTGTAAAACTTGCACAGTTCTTGCAGTATTTCATTACATTCCTTGGAGTAGTGCATTGACATTTTTCTGCTTCATATGCAAAATCACTCCTTGCCCCTAAATCTATGAAAGAATATACAGTAGGGAATTATATGGTTTATGATTTTCTACGTCTCGTAATGTGGAGAGAGCATCTGACAGGAGTGTTCTCCCAGCGCTGAAGGAGAACATGGAAAGGGGATTTCAGGAAGAAGAAAATTCTGGAAGCCTCTTGCATCTGAACAAGCTGGCTGGTGCTGCAATGTTATAGCAGTTGTTAGACCAGGGATCAATATGATAAATTCATTTTTGGTTTCTAGTCCGAATTCCAGTTGAATTTGGTAATGCAGGTTTGCTGGAGTTCCATGCAAGTTCTCGTTTGCCTTTTAGCTGTAACCAGTCTGACTGACACTAACTGCTGTTGTTTCTTCTCTGCAGATTTCTACTCCAGTCCCTGGAAGATCTGGACAACAGTTTAAGGAAACTGAACTCTCGCTTGTTTGTTGTCCGAGGGCAGCCAACAGATGTCTTCCCAAGACTCTTTAAAGTAAGAGAATAATTTTTTGGAGCATAGTGAAGAAAAATTGATGGCCTGGTGCTAAACTTGTTTTCACTCACTAATGATTGGAGATTCCTTTGGCATCTCTTTAGCTATAACTAATTCTTCACTGAAACAAACTTTTGTCTTTAACTACTCCTAACTACTATCCATAAGGGCCAGCTTGGGAGCCAGATCCACTCCTGAACTCAGACTGGCAAAGAAATTTAGTAGTAGGGTGTAACCTAGTATCAGGGTGCTCAGGCTTCTCTTTTGGATGGTGGTCTTGACCTTCATTACTATAAGTCACCTCTCACATGGCTGCACTGTAACATACTGACTCTCTTGTGTTGAGAGCTTTTTCCCTGCTGGTCATGTGCTTCCTGCAGTTTTTACCTGGGAAGACTGCTGTGTCCATACACCTTTACGGACAACTAGAAAAGCACATTGATCTTTATGAATTGCAAACAGGACTTTGTGTTAAAATTTCAAAATTCAGAAGCTGTTATGTTAGCTGACCTTCCTTTTCTTCTTCTTTTCAAGGATGCACTTCAGTCAGCTCAGCAGCAGAATATGGTTTGGGTCCAAGCTTCTTGCTGATGTACCATTTAGGATGTGGAATATGCAGTTACCTTGATGGTCAATGGTGGATTAGGGGGATACATTTCTAAAGTGGTATGTCAGTGCTGCAGATGTCAGGGCTGACAAGAGCATCTCCTTGAATATCAAGGCTCCTCAAGCAGTATCATTCTTCTCTATCCTGCTCTAAGATTGTATTTCCAATGTCTTTGAAGCTTTCTGACGGCATCTTTGCTAGAGTGTCAAAACTAAATGAAAAAACACGGTTCCCAGTACTCTTATGAGTACGGTTTGTCATGTGGACTGTGCTTTACGTATGGTTGACAGAACTAGTGTCCCCAGAGCCTATTATAGACCAGCTGCTGAGAAGGAGAGGTAAACTTGAATCTGTACTGTACTGAATCTGCAGTAAATGGTTCTGATGTGTATTTTCTGGAGGAGGGCAGTACTGGAGAGGGGAATTGCACTATGCAGGTGAGGAGGGGCACTGATACTTATTTTGGCTTCTGCATCTTAATACGTGACACAAACTATGTGCTGCTTTTAGTCTTTTCAGAGTCTGGGTTATTTTTATCTTTTGATCTGCAAATAAGTTCTGGCTATTAGTAGTTCATGACCTCTTTATTTTAGTTCAAGGTATTCATGGGATAATTAAAACTTTGTTGGAGAAAAACGCTTGCTTTGGTTAAAGAACAAAAAGTAGTTGGCAGAGTCTGAGGTTTGGAGAGATGGTTGTGAAGTCACCCAGACCTGCTTTTTGCTGTAGTCTGTTTTGTCTGGGGAGGTGAGTTGATGAGTATCTCAGGTGTGCTGTAACAGAGCTGAAAAAAACAGAGGCAAGTTTGTGCTATTACATGGTAAATCTATGGCTTTCATGGGGATTCAGGCGTCTGCAGAGCTGCTGCACTGAACAGTGAATTAGCAGCAGCTCATGCCTTGCTGTCAGCTGTTGTGGAAGGAGAGTTATGTCACATGTGGTAATACAGCACTTAGACCTAATATAATTTCTGCTCCTGCTGCCAGTAGCTGAGCTACCTTGTTGCTAACAGTCGCTGCTAAGGCACTATTGTGCATGGATATTGTGAGAAGTGTACTTGTTAGCAATGTGTTAACCTTTGCAGAAGTTTTTTTGTCTCACTGTATCTGAGCAAATGTCTGTAATTTTACCTCTTCTGTAAAAGTGTGTTGTTTGTTCACTGAAGTTTGCTCACAATCCCTTTGGTGTCTTTTGCCCCTACAGTTTTTCTTTGCTATAGGATAGATAAAAGAGAGAAGTTATTAGTCATGCCTTTTCTTTTGTATATCTGCAGCAATTTACTGTCATACAGCTAATGAGTTTTCTGGTTGGTTGTGCTCTGCTTCCTATGTACTACTATATCGCATAGAGCAGTGGCCTTCTCAAAACTGTAGGAATACATGGATTTAAAGTTTTGGATGTTTACCTAAAATTTCTGTTAGCCTTACATGGGTTTTTTTTATTCCATTCCACTCTTTCAAGAAATATGTATTTCTTCAAGACTAAATCCATCTTTTTCAAGCCTTCCAGCTAATACTGTTTTTCTTATAAATGAAAAGTTTAAAATGAAGCTGATAAATCACATAGGAGCAGGGCAGGGCCTGGAACATGTCAGTCTGACCCCTGCTCTGAGTTAGGGTGCTGTCACGTTCTTACTTAGAAAAATAAGTGGAGGACCTCTCCAAGATGTACATTCAGTGATACATAACTGGTTTATTTCTCTGTCCTTCCTAAAATTAGTTTTAGGACTGGATCAGCAAGTTTAGAAAAGAATGGGATTTGTGCAGTTGTTTTCTACTTCTGAATTCCCTTCCCCATCTTTGGCATTATTTTTAATGGTCTTTAGTAAACTAGCCACAATTGTTCTTTTGCTTTGTTTCTGTTTTGGAGGTGGAAAAGTCTCCTGTATATACAGAGCTGACTTAGACTGTCTCACTTGGAGAATGTGGTTCGTATGTTAGCTGTGTGAGGGTTTTTTTAAGTGTCTGTAGATTTCTGGCTGTCTTTGACTAAAGTGTTTGCTAAACAAATCTGTGGGCTGCTGCTCTGCTTGATGGATGTCTTGGGAGGGTCGCTGTGGAAACCGTGAAACCTTTTCTCATAGGATTCATTTTCTGAGGAAAACTAGGCCGTAGACTTGGAGAACAATCTGTGCTCTAGAAAAGCCTGGAAGAGGCTGAATGCTATTTCATAAGGCCTATTCCATGTAATTTGTCAGGGATCTATTAATGGTATGAAGAGCAGAACAGGTGCATGGCTTGACTAGGGTAAACTTCAGGCATTGGAACTATGTGATCTTTAAGGTTGCTTCCAACCCAAACCATCCTATGATTCTACAATTCTAAAATAACTCCCAAAAGGCAGGACTTTACCTTAAATCCAAATCACAGTATCATACTCTACTGTGCAGACCATAAAGGTTCACTCAGTTGCCATCCTATGTCCTGCATTTCCTACAACCTGTTTCTTGTGCTTTGGGTTGGACACTGATTCCCCAAGATGTCATGTCTTTAAAGAGACATTGGGAAAAATTTAGAATGTATTGGTTTTACTTAATGATAGTTTCCACATAAAAATACAGGGTTTTGAGTGGAACATGTCTTGAAAGAGTTGTCTGAAATGCGTTCTCTGCAAATGCTGGAATAGAATGGTAGGGTTACTTTGGGATAGCATATGCAACAAAACAAGGTGTTCCTAGGCTTGGGGACTGAGCTGAGACCTAAGTGATAATAGAGGAGAACTCAACCTCCTCTGAGATGTTAAACCTGACATTTGCAAATTTGCATAGCAGATGTGGTGTTTGCTAGAGCTGATAAAATTGTTGAGTCTTTGGTTATTTCAAATTCAGACTGCTGCTCCTCACAGTAACACACTCTAAGCTTCCAGGACTTAACACTGTTCAGGAATTCTGAAATCCATGTTTGTAATTGTGCTTATTAGGAAGGGTCTTCTGTTTGACAGCTGGGTGTATTGTGTTTTTTACAGGAATGGGGAGTCACTCGTCTCACCTTTGAATACGACTCGGAGCCATTTGGAAAGGAGAGGGATGCAGCTATCATCAAACTGGCCAAGGAGGCTGGCGTGGAGGTGGTGATAGAGAACTCCCACACCCTCTACGACTTGGACAGGTATGGGGAGAGCAAGGGCAGAGGTGCTGTCTGGGCTAGGCTGGGATTGTCATGTCTGGGAAGACTTCAGTCTCCTCCATTACACTGATCACTGTCATCCTGTGTGAGCCTAGAAGGATTAGTCTCTGCACTCGCACTTTTGATTAGAACACGTCAAAGTGCTCACAGTGACGTGAATGTACAGACAGGTGTTGCCTCAAGCTTATTAAACTCTGCACTTGACCGTCATTTAATTTGCTCAGCTGTGTCCGATTGATTGCTCTCCTTGAGCATGTCCTCACTGTATGGACTGCTTTCTTTTGCTTCATTGTAATAAAGATAGTTGACCTGTTGTCTCAAACAGGCTATGAAGGCAGGGCTTTTGTTTCATGGATGTGCCAGGACAACTGGAAGAAGTAAAATAAGGTAGATTGGAACAAACCTTATTCTAAAACCTGAATGCCTTGTCTTTGTTGTGTATTTGCTATGAAGGAGCTTTGTTTTGATGTTGAGTTTTGTATATTTACTTATTACATCTCTCTCTATATATGTGATTTTAAGCAGTGGAGACAGTCTTTCAGTTAAGACTGAGGTGTGCTTGATTTCAATGATGTACTATTCTTACAGGTTACCTACTTTTTTTCTTTTCCTTTTTTTTTAAACTTTTTTTTGATTAGACTTGTGCCAGTAATGCTGAATTTGGATTTTCTCCTATCAATCTTTAACATCCATAACTTCCCACGGGAAGGAGCTTTGCAGTTAGCATATTGCCATGTGGGAATGTTTGTCTTTGGAGCGAGGGGTATTCTTCTTAAACCTGTTTCATGAGCAGATACTGCTTTCTAATTTTTATTTACCAGTGTTTATTACATCCTCACCCCTTCAATGTCAATGGGCCTCACATTCTTCCTCATGTCCTCTTTGTGTTTTCCAAGATGGAGAGTCCTAGTTTTAAGTTTTCAGGTGGAATCTGTTCTATATCTCATAAGCTTTGTCACCTTTCTTTGTAGTTCTGGGTATTTCTAGAGATGGAGAGCAGTGGTGAAAAGTGTAACTAGTGTGCAAAATGTAGGAGCAACATGGATTTTTAGAGTGCTGTGATGTTTCCTGTCTTCTTCTAGTAGTCCTTCTCCTAATAGTAGCATTATTTTTGCTTTTTCTGAGTGCTGTAAACACTGAACTGATGTCTTGGGGCTTTCTTCCAGAATGGTCATAGCTATTTGAGGGGCTGCTACTGTATAAATAAGTTTAGGATTGCATAGCTATGCATA